AATAACTAAAGACAGCAGGTCAGACTCAGTCAAGTGATGCTGAAACGTCTTCAGTATTTTAGACATGGGTTTATAGAATAACTAAAGATAGCAGGTCAGACTCAGTCAAGTGATGCTGAAACGTCTTCAGTATTTTAGACATGGGTTTTATTAAATACTGAAGACGTTTCAGCATCACTTGACTGAGTCTGACCTGCTGTCTTTAGTTATTCTCATCGTTTCGGATCTGGTAGAGCTGATCTGTACAGAAGCGTCTATAGTTTTCGAAGGAAGTCACAAAACGAAAACTACCCTTTGTTTTTTCACGGTAGGTTTAGAGTTGTTTAGTAATATATCGACTAACTGTTTTCCTTCTTTTTTTCTTTTTTTTTTGTTGCAGACTGGAAAGACTTCACGCTGACTTCAACAACATCATCCGACTTCCCGAAGAGTTTGCTGTTATAAGTAACCTCAAGTGTTTAACACTCGGCTATAACAAGTTTACAAATTTTTCTCCCGCGCTGGGAAAACTAAATTCTTTACGTACTCTATTACTGTGTGGAAACACGATCTCAAGCTTTCCCGAGAAGATGACAGAGGGACTGTCTCATCTGCGTCATCTGGACATAAGTCGTAATAAACTAAGAGGGGAAGTACATTTTTCAAGACTAAAGGTATCCATATTAAAGATTATTCAATATTTTATCGACACTCTTGTTAAATAAACTGAAACAAATAGTGATATTTATATTAAGTATAAATGTGAAGCCTAATTTGTTATTTAACTCACCACTTGTCACTAAGTTATGGAGGACACAAGTATTGTAACTTGCTTAACTTCTTAATAATTCAAGAGACTAAATTAGTAGCATCAATATTACACATTTTTCAATCCTATAAAACTATAGGTTCACTGTGGAAAGTAAAAAACAACTAAACACACCCCACAAGCAACGATCATGTATTAAATGTGTTTCAACTTAACACGACATTATTGAACCCAATACAGCAACGATCATGTATTAAATGTGTTTCAACTTAACACGACATTAATGAACCCAATACAGCAACGATCATGTATTCAATGTGTTTCAATTTAGTACGACATTATTAAACCCACTACAGTGTTATATTTGTTGTTAAGAGTAAACCTACTGTGTTAATATAACATAACATTGTTAAACCCACTAGCAGTGTTATATTTGTTGTTAAGAGTAAACCTACTGTGTTAATATAACACAACATTGTTAAACCCACTAGAGTGTTATATTTGTTGTTAAGAGTAAACCTACTGTGTTAATATAACACAACATTGTTAAACCCACTAGAGTGTTATATTTGTTGTTAAGAGTAAACCTACTGTGTTAATATAACACAACATTGTTAAACCCACTAAAGTGTTATATTTGTTGTTAAGAGTTAACCTGCTGTGTTAATATAACACAACATTGTAAAACTTAGTAAATTTTTAGATTTAATATATTCCTTTATTGTAGGATTACTTTCCTCTCCTTACAAACGTATATCATGATGTTAAAAACAAACCTATATCATGATGTTAAAAACAAACCTACATCATGATGTTAAAAACAAACCTACATCATGATCAGAATGTGGGTTTGTTTTTAACAACAAAATTAAAACATCAGGATGTGGGTTTGTTTTTAACATCATGATGTAGGTTTGTTTTTTAACATCATGATGTGGGTTTGTTTTTAACATTATGATGTAGGTTTGTTTTTAACATTTTTTAACAACATGAGTGAAACAAACATCAGAATGTGGGTTTGCGCTCATGTTGTTAAAAACAAACCCACATTCTGATGTTTCACTCATGTTGTTAAAAACAAACCAACATCCTGATGTTTCACTCATATTGTTAAAAACAAACCCACATTCTGATGTTTCACTCATGTTGTTAAAAACAAACCCACATCCCGATGTTTCACTCATGTTGTTAAAAACAAACCCACATTCTGATGTTTCACTCATGTTGTTAAAAACAAACCTACATTCTGATGTTTCACTCATGTTGTTGAAAAACAAACCCACATTCTGATGTTTCACTCATGTTAAAAACAAACTCACATTCTGATGTTTCACTCATGTTTTAAAAACAAACCTACATTCTGATGTTTCACTCATGTTGTTAAAAACAAACCCACATTCTGATGTTTCACTCATGTTGTTAAAAACAAACCTACATCATGATGTTTCACTCATGTTGTTAAAAACAAACCCACATTCTGATGCTTCACTCATGTTGTTAAAAACAAACCAACATCCTGATGTTTCACTCATATTGTTAGAAACAAACCCACATCCTGATGTTTCACTCATGTTAAAAACAAACCTACATCCTGATGTTTCACTCATGTTTTAAACCTAGAAAATCCGAGATTAACTTTAAGCGTCATCGCACCAGTTCAAATCTAGTGAAAATTATATCTTTATAACTGATGGAGCTGAAACAGACATCCTGAAAATTATTTTCGCAGTATTTCATCAGTGATTCGTGAAGTTCTGATAAAAAATAAATAAACGGTAAGTGGTAAGGTAACACACAAAACACAGTTCACTCTTTCTACACCTGAACTTCTACAACTCTTCAGAGCTCAGTTTTTGAGGCCTCACTATGTATTTGTTGTTATTGTTCATTTTATTATGATTCGACGCTCCACCACAACACGCTCTGTTTCCTTGATTCAACTTAAATGTAGAATTACTTTATTAAAAAGAACGTAAAGTAAGAATTTATCATTTTTTAAAATAAAAACTTGTAATTTTCTTTTTTCCCAAGAGATACGTCATAACTTACTGGTTTTAGTGAATTGGAAGAAAAATTACAGAATAAATTTGTATTTTTTTAACTACAGAATTTAATTTATTTGAATGCTAGCTACAATGTTATAGAATTCATATAGATGTCACCACCGTAGGAAGGAAATTACAGAATAATATCAGTGTTTTTGTTTTTTTAACGACAGAATTTGATTTATTTGAATGTTAGCTACAATGTTATAGAATTCATATAGATGTCACCACCGTAGGAATAAAATTACACAATAATGTTTGTTTGTTTTTTATCTACAGAATCTGACTTATTTGAATATTAGCTACAATGTTATAGAATTTA